TGCCTGGCTAATTTTTCTATTTTTTGTGTAGGTATGTTCTCACTATATTGCCTAGGCTGGTCTCAACCTCTTGGGCTCAAGCGATCGTTCCACCTCAGCCTCCCCAAATGCTAGGATTACATGCATGAGTGAGCCATCATGCCCAGCCTCAAGAAGACTTTCTTTACTGGAAAGATATTGTTATGTTTTTCTATGTTTTCATCAATAAACTTTATGGTTTTGGCTTTTAGATTTAGGTATATAATCTATTTTAAGTTTTATATATGATGTGAGATAATGGTTGAGATTCTTTTCTTTTTCATGTACATGTCCAGTTGTTACAGCATTATTTTTAAAAAGACTTTTCTATTTTTTTTTTTTTGAGACAGAGTTTAGCTCTTGTTGCCCAGGCTGGAGTGCAGTGGCACGATCTCAGCTCACTGCAACTTCCACACCCCAGGTTCAATTGATTCTCCTGCCTCAGCCTCCCATGTAGCTGGGACTACAGGTGTGCACCACCATGCCCAGCCAATTTTTCTATTTTTTTTTAGTAGAGACAGGGTTTCACCATGTTGACCAGGATGGTCTCAATCTCTTGACCTCATAATCAGCCCTCCTCGGCCTCCCAAAGTGCTGGGATTACAGGCGTGAACCACTGTGCCTGGCAAGACTTTCTTTTTACTAGTGTTTTGACTTAGCACTGAGTAAAAATAAGCTAACTATATGTATGTGTGGATTTATTTCTAGACTTGTCTTCTTGTCCTATTGATTTGTATATTCTAACTCCAATACCATACTTTATTGATAACTATTGCTTTTCGTAAGTCAAAATTAGATTGTTTAAGCCTCTAAATGTGTTCTTTGTCCACATTATTTTGGCTATTGTAGATTCTTAGTTCTTCCATGTAAATTTTAGAATCGGCTTTTAAATTTCCTTTTTAAAACCTTGCTCAAATTTTGATAAAGACGTCATGAAATAAATTAAACTGGGGAGAATGGACATGTTAACAATATTGAGTCTTCCATTCTGTGGTATATAACACATGGTATATCTGATATATCACTTCATGTATTTAGGATTTCTTTCTCTTAGCATTTTGGTAGCTTTTCTTTTTCTTTTTCTTTCTTTTTTTCTTTTGAGACAAGGGTCTCTCTCTGTCACTCAGGCTGGAATGGGACTGCAGTTGCATAACCTTGGCTCACTGCAGCCTCGACCTGGGTTCAAGCCATCCTCCCATTCACCCTCCTATGTAGCTGGAACCATGGGAGCCACCATGCCTGGCTAATTTTCATATTTTTGGTAGAGACAGGGTTTTGCCATGTTGACCAGCTGATCTGAACTCGTGGGCTCAAGCAATTTGCCCACCTAGGCCTTCCAAAGTGTTAGGATTATAGGGGTGAGCCACTGCACCCAGCCCAAGTTTGTCGTTTTTAGTGTAGAGATCTTACCCATCTTTTAAAAGATTTATTTATAGAAATTTCATCTTCTTGATGTTGTTATAAATGGTAATTTTAATATTCATTGATAGTTTATAGAAAAACAATTGATTGGTGTATATTAACCCTGGATCCCACAGTTGGCCGGGTGCAGTGGCTCATGCTTGTAATCCCAGCACTTTGGGAGGCCGAGGCGGGTAGATCATCTGAGGTCAGGAATTCAAGACTAGCCTGACCAACATGGTGAAACCCTGTCTCTACTAAAAATACAAAATTAGCTGGGTATGGTGGTGCATGCCTGTAATCTCAGCTATTCAGGAAGCCAACGCAGGAGAACCACTTGAACCGGGAGGCAGAGGTTGCAGTGAGCCGAGATTGTGCAGTTTCACTCCAGCCTGAACAATAAGAGTGAAACTCTGTCTCTGAGCAACAAAAACAGGTCAGGCATGGTAGCTCATGTCTCTAATCCCAACACTTTAGGAGGCCAAGGCAGGTGGATCATGAGATCAGGAAATCGAGACCATCCTGGCTAACATGGTGAAACCTCGTCTCTACTAAAAAATACGAAAAATTAGCTGGGCATGGTTGCACACGCCTATGGTCCCAGCTACTCCAGAGGCTGAGGCAAGAGAATCACTTGAACCAGGGTGTTGGAAATTGCAATGAGCCAAGATCACGCCACTGCACTCAGGCCTGGGCAACAGAGCAAGACTGTCTTAAAAGAAACCTTGTAGCCCACAGCCTCACTAAATTCATATTAGTTTTTGTATTTTTTTAAGATTGTTTTGGGTTTTCTATGTACACGTATCTTCTGCAAAAAAAAAAACAAGTTTTACTTTCCTTTTTCAATTTGATTCCTTGTGTTTCTTTTCCTCATCATACTGTACTGGCTAAGCTATGGCAGAAGATTTAACAATGTTGGCCTCTGGATGGATGAGATTATAGGTGTGGTAGGTTTTTCTTCTTTTTGTTTATATACATTTTCTAGTATTTCTTTAACAAACACTGCTTTTGTAATAAAATATTTTGCAAAAAGACTAAGTATGAAGAAAGGAGAACATGCAAAATACATTTAAGTTTAAAAAGCAGAATATAAATTCATTGAAGAGTTTTGATTCTGTAAAATATTTACATAAGGGACAAATACTTAATGAATTTTAGGGCAATGGAGATCCTCAATTTTTTTAGTGATTTGTATTTTTAGTGATTAGTATTGTTATACATATCAACAGGAACAAAAATGTTAAAGTATAATTATTTTTTACCCTATTTTTATCACTTTCTTCCCAGGAAATTCTTTTGTCTTGTTTTGCTTAGCTACTGAACTGCTGTGCTAAGCAGAAAATAGGTCAAAATATAATTTTGAAGAATCATAGAAAGGGCTATAGATGACTTGGCGTTAGAAAGTACATTGTGCTACTAGGCACAGTAGCTCCCACCTGTAACCCCGGCACTTTGGGAAACCAAGGCAGGAGAATTGTTTGAACCGAGGAGTTTGAGACCAGCCTGGGAAACGTGGTGAATCACTGGCTCTGCTAAATACAAAAAATTAGCTGTGTGTGGTGTCACGTGCCTGTAATCCCAGTTACTGGGGGGATACTGAGGTGGGAGGATCATCTGAGCCTGGGAGGTCAAGGCTACAGTGAGCTGTGGATCATGTCACTGCACTCCAGCAATTGGGGAGGGAATAGAAAAAAGTTATTAGTATTTAGAGGTCTGAGACTAGGAAAAGAGATGAGTAAAAGTGATTTTAGGATTTATTATGTATGCTCCTATTATATAAGGAAAAATGTAATTTCTCCTTAGTTTTCTCAAAAATGTTTTGTTCCTTTGTTTTCATGGCATTTTGAAGTGTGCGTTTGTTTCTTTTGGCTGTGATAACATGCCAAGCCTGGTTGGATTTATTGCTGTTAAAACTTTATTTTCTTGGTCTGTGAGGATGTAACATTTGTAATTTTGATTATTTGCAAGCAATTCAGTGGTTCATGATTGGTGTAATTGGAAATATAATTACTAACTCTGATACCAGCATGCAGGAGTGTGTTACTTGGCCATTGAGGGAAATAAGTTAACATGCAAGCATGTCCATCATTATTACTTAGGAAAGTTAAGCAGCAATTTTCATAAATTTTCAAAAAAACAATAGCACCTTTATTTTTGTGTGGAAAATAGCTATTGAGTGTAAGAGAGCCAAATTCAGTCATTGCTGGAGAGGTAGTCCCCTTGTGGCGTGAGGATGTGCACAGGATCCTCAAATAGGCTCTCAATGAATATTGACTGAGGAGAAATTTAGGAGGAACCTACAAAGACATTCCTGTATTTCTGTGTCTTTTTTTTATTTGAGATGGAGTCTTGCTGTGTCATCCAGGCTGGAGTGCAGTAACAGGATCCTCTGCTCACTGCAACCTCTGCCTCCCAGGTTCAAGCGATTCTCCTACCTCAGCCTCCCAAGTAGCTGGTACTACAGGTGTGCGCCACCACACCTGGCTCATTTTTGTGTTGTTAGTAGAGATGGGGTTTCACCATGTTGGCCAAGCTGGTCTTGAACTTCTGGGCTTAGGTGATACACTTGCCCTGGCCTCCCAAAGTGCTGGGATTACAAGCGTGAGCCACCATGCTCGGTCTGACATTACTATATATCTGATTCTGGGAATTTTCAAAAGTCTCTAAATGTATCGCATTAAAGACTGATATTAATTCTGAGGAACTTGCTGACTGAAAAGATTATTGAATTAGATATCTGAAGATAAGTATTTTAATCTCAGTTATGCCACCTACTAGCTAGATAGCCGTGATTAAGTTACATTACATTTCTGAACATCATATTCCTTTTGTAAAGGGGGATAAGAACTTGGGATCTGCCAGGCTGCTAGTTATGTGGTGCAGATTGTGCTCTAGTGAAGGGTAGCCATCTGGTTAAGGGAAGGGAGAGTGGGGCTGACACTCGGGGTACTCTGTGCAACAAGTTGTGTACCTTAGCATGGGGTCTGCCCAGAGAAGGCATGCCTTTTTCAAACTCTCACAGAGGCCCATCTGTTCACCAAGTAGTGCACAGTAGCTCTGCAGCTTCTTGGTGGGGGTGGGGGCGCGTGGTGAGACACTGTTAATTTGCTCAAAGATGCTGTATAGACAATGGTGAATCTAGGCTGGGTGCAGTGGCTTATGCCTGTAATCCCAGCACTTTGGGAGGTTGAGGCAGGTGGATCACTTGAGGTCAGGAGTTTGAGACCAACCTGGTCAACATGGTGAAACCCCGTCTCTACTAAAAATACAAAAATTAGCCAGACATGGTGGCATGCGCCTATAGTCCCAGCTACTCTAGAGACTAAGCGGGAGAATGAGGAGAATTGTTTGAACCTAGGAGGCAGAGATTACAGTGAGCAGAGGATCACTCACACCATTGCACTCCAGCCTGGGAACAGTGCAAGAGTCCATCTCAAAAAAAGAAAGACAATGGTGGATCTGGCTATGCCTACCTCATAGAATTGTTATGGAGAACGATGAGATTTGTGTAAAGTACTTTGAAAAGTATAGTATAACACAAATATGTCTTATTTTTACTGTTCATCTGTGGTTTATTTTAGGGTAGATACAACAAGAATTGAATACTCCATTCCTTTAAGAGAAAACTGGGCACTACCATATTTTGCATGTCAAGTTGCTGCACTCACAGGCTATTTAAAAAGCAACTTAAATACCTATGGAGAGGTAAGATACAAATCTGTTTTATCCATTGCAGCTAATTCTGTTGTATTGCAAATGTGGTGCATAATAGCAAATAAGTTTTAGTCATAGTAAGAATTGAATTATATTCAATGAAGCCTGGTTACTACATAATAAAAAGTATAGTTAGGTAGTTTTCTTTTTTTCCCCCTGAGACAGAGTCTTGCTCTGTCACCAGGCTGGAGTACAGTGGCGTCATCTCAGCTCACTGCAACATCTGCCTCCTGGGTTCAAGCGATTATCCTGCCTCAGCCTCCCAAGTAGCTGGGATTACAGGTCCCCACCCCCGCCACACCCGGCTTATTTTTGTATTTTTAGTAGAGATGGAGTTTCACCAAGTTGGCTAGGCTGGTCTCAAACTCCTGACCTTGTGATCCTCCCACCTTGGCGTCCCTAAGCACTGGTTTTGCAGGCGTGAGCCACTGTGCCCAGCCAGTAGTTTTCTTACAAAACTGTTACTCTGTAATCTGATTAACAGTAAATTAGGAGGAAGGAGATGTTTTATTATTTTAATACAGTTACTTGACAACTATGTAAAGAATATCTTATTTTTAAAATCTGTCCCACTGTTATTTTATCACTTCTTGGACTTCTGGGACATTGCTGGCCTTCAGTCGCCATAATTTAAAGGTATATTAAGGAAGATGTAAAGAGTGACCACAAATGACAGCAGCGTTAACTTGGATGGTAGCACTGCATATTCTGTTTCTTCTCGTGTGTTTTCTGTGATGGGGTATAGGTAGGTTGGTAAAAAATTCAGGAGACTTCCCCAGTAGTTTAGATTCTTACATTATTATTGTTATTACCATAACTCTTTTGGCAGTTGGAAGAAGCCTGAGGAGTAGGGCTCAGAATAATGATTTTAGCCCAGGCCCAGTGGCTCATGCCTGTAATCCCAGCACTGTGGGAAGCTGAGGTGAGCAGGTCACTTAGGGTTAGGAGTTTGAGACCAGCCTGGCCAACATGGTGACACCTTGTCTCTAGTAAAAATTCAAAAATTAGCTAGGTGTGGTGGCACATGCCTGTAATCCCAGCTACTCAGGAGGCTGAGGCAGGAGGATCATTTGAACCTGGGAGGCAGAGGTTGCAGTGAGCTGAGATTATGCCACTGCCTTCTATCCTGGGTGACAGAGTGAGATCAGGAGTTCACGACCAGCCTGACCAACATGGTGAAACCCTGTCTTTAAAAAAAAAAAAAAAAAAGAATTCCTGGCTAGAGGCCGGGTGTGGTGGCTCACGCCTATAATCCCAGCACTTTGGGAGGCCTGAGGCGGGTGGATCACAAGATCAAGAGATCGAGACCAATCCTGGCCAACAGGGTGAAACCCCATCTCTACTCAAAAAAACAAAAAAATTAGTTGGGTGTGGTGGCTCACACCTGTAGTCCCACTACTCGGGAGACTGAAGCAGGAGAATTGCTTGACCCAGGAGGTGGAGATTGCAGTGAGCCAAGATTGTGCCACTGCACTCCAGCCTGGCACCTGGTGACAAATCAAGACTCTCTCTCAAACAAAAGGAATTCCTGGCTAGAAAAAGTAAACAGAGCTTATTAAACCTGATTGTCTAGAAAACAGGATGTACTTGTGGATCCTTTATGAAAAATCTCTGAAAAAATATACTATTCTTTTCTCCTTTCAGTGGTGACAAATGTCATGAGCATACCAAACTTTATTATTTCATTTTTATAACTAGCATTTCCTTTTTTTGCGTAAAATAACATGAACACATTTCAGCTTTGTGATTTTTCCTATGTGTTGTATTTGTATACAGATCTTTCTAAATAAGAGTATATGTATTTTTTCTTTGTTGTTATTATAGACAAATTCTCACTCTGTCATTCAGGCTGGAGTGTAACGGCACAATCTCTGCTCACTGCAACCTCCACCTCCCGGCCTCAAGCAATTCTCCTGCCTCAGCCTCCCAAGTAGCTGGGATTACAGGGGCCCAGCACCATGCCAGGCTAATTTTTGTATTTTTAGTAGAGATGGGGTTTCACCATGTTGTCCAGGCTGGTCTCCAACTCCTGACCTCAAATGATCTGCCCACCTCGGCTTCCCAAAATGCTGGAATTCCACCGCGCTTGACCAAGAGTGTATTTTCTATAATAGTCAGGGAGTCTATGATTGAATATTTCCCTGTTTGATTGTACAGCTGTCTCTTAGGGAATAATAGTTCTTCAATTGTTAAGTAAAAGAGTTTGGTATAGGCTGGGCACGGTGGCTCACACCTATAATATTACCCAGTACTTTGGGAAGCTGAGGCGAGTGGATCACCTGAGGTCAGGAGTTTGAGACCAGCCTGGCCAAAACGGCGAAATCTGTCTCTACTAAAAATACAAAAATTAGCAGGTGTGGTGGCCACACCTGTACTCCCAGATACTTGGGAGGCTAAGGTGGGAGGATCGCTTAAACCCAGAGGTGGAGATTGCAGTGAGCCGAGATCATGCCACTACACTCCAGCCTGGGTAACAGAGTAAGACTCGATCTTAAAAAAAAAAAAGTTTGGTTAAGTTTGGTATAGCAAAGTAAACTGCCTAAGCTTCTTTATATTTACCTTTTTGCTTATTTCTTTGAGACATAGACTCACTCTGTCACCCAGGCTGGAGTGCAGTGGCATGATGTAGGCTTACTGCATTTTTGACCTCCCAGGGTCAAGTGATCCTCCCACTTCAGCCTCCTAAGTAGCTGGGACAATAGTCATGTGCCACCATGCCCAGCTAATTTTTATATTTTTTGTAGAGACAGGGTTTTTTGCCATTTTGCCCAGGCTGTTCCGGAACTCCTGGCCTCAAGCAATCTACTCTCCTCAACTTCCCAAAGTTCTGGGATTACAGGCTATATTTACCTTTATTTTAAACTAAAGTAAACTTTATGTTACCTAAAAAAAGTTTAAGTATCTTTTAATAAAGTCATTGTTTTTATTTATTTTAAAAGAAAATCTTTGTAAACAGTGCTTTTATACCATTTTATTACTTTTCTCGATATTTTTTCATTGCCATATGTTATGCATTTGTTCTTTGTAATTTTTTTATTCTTTTTTAAATTAAAAAAGTAATACATATATTATATACATGGTTAAAAAACTGTTCATGCAAATGAACATACAGTGAAAAGTATATTTCCCTCCTGTTCACTATTATTACCAAGGACCCAGAACTTTTGAAAGGATCCAAGAATAGCTTATTATTTTATATTAGGTTACACTTTGTTTCTCTTTTTAAATTTAACCATGATTTTTTTTTTCTGCTTTGAAAATACTCCACAGTATCCCACCCCCGTTTTCTCTCTTAATATTAAGTGGGAAAATTGTATTTATCAATTATATGTTTATAACTAGTCACTCATCAATAGAGTCAAGAGTACACAACAAGAACAAAATACCTATTTGAAAATATTAAAGAGTAAAAAGAGGCCAGGTGCAGTGGCTCACACCCGTAATTTCAGCACTTTGAGAGGCTGAGGCGGTAGATCTCAAGGTTTAAAGATGGAGGCCATCTGGCCAACATGGTGAAACTCCATCTCTACTAAAAATACAAAAATTAGCTGGGCATGGTGGCACATGCCTATAGTCCCAGCTACTTGGAAGGCTGAGGCAAAAGAATCACTGGAACCCGGGAGGTAAAGGTTGCAATAAGCCGAGATCATGTCTCTGTTCTCCAGCCTGGTGACAGAGCAAGACTCCGTCTCAAAAAAAAAAAAAAAAAAAGTAGTAATATTAAGGATTCTATAAATATATACAACAGGAAAAGAAAAAAAAGTTAGCTAGGGTGTATTCTTAACTCTTTAGCTAACAACTCAACTTTTTAAGAAGCAGAATTGCCTAATCTTTCAGTTATGTTTACTTCCCTTCCCTCTCCTCTAAATCTATTATTATTTTTTTTTATTTTTATTTTTTATAAAGACAGGGTTTCACCACGTTGGTCAGGCTGGTCTTGAACTCCCGACCTCAGGTGATCTGCTTGCCTTGGCCTCCAAAGTGCTTGAATTACAGGCATGAGCCACCACGCCCGGCCTTAAATCTATTCTTTTAGTTTAAATTAGTTTAAGATTCACAATAAGTTGTAAAAATAATATAGAGAATTCCCATGTACCCCTCACTCAGCTTTCCCCAATAATATCTTGCATAGTCAAGATACCTTGTCAAAGAGAAGAAATTGATATTGATATAATACTGTTTATTCAGGCAGTGACTTTCTACAGATTTCACCTGGTTTTACATGTACTGCCAAGTTGGGCAGATCATGATGTCAGGAGTTCGAGACCAGCCTGACCAACATGGTGAAAACCATCTCTACTAAAAATACAAAAATTAGCCAGGCATGGTGGTGCACGCCTGTAATCCCAACTACTCAGGAGACTGAGGCAGGAGATTCACTTGAACCTGGGAGGTGGAGGTTGCAGTGAGCCGAGATTGGACCCCTGCACTCCAGCCTGGGCCACAGAGGAAGACTCCATTTTAAAAAAAGAAAAAGAAGAAAGAAAGGTTATATAAACGGAATCAAATTATGTAGTATGTAACTTTTTAAGATTAGCTTTTTTCACTTAGCCTAATACGCTTGACATCCCTGTGATTTACTGACATGTGTCAATACTTGCTCCTTGTCATCACTGAGTAGTATTTTAGCAACATGTATTTTTTTTTCCTTTTTCTTTGAGAGGGAGTCTCTTGCTCTGTTGCCCTGGCTGGAGTGCAGTGGCACAATCTCGGCTGACTGCAACCTCTGCCTCCCAGGTTCAAGCGATTCTCCTGCCTCAGCCTCCCTAGTAGCTGGGACTACAGGCACACATCACCATGCCGGGCTAATTTTTGTACTTTTAGTAGAGATGGAGTTTTACCACGTTGGCCAGGCTGGTCTTGAACTCTTGGCCTCAAGTGATATGCCCGCCTTGGCCTCCCAGAGTGCTGAGATTATAGGTGTGAGCCACCGTGCCTGGCTGACATGACTTTTTTTTAATCACATATTTTGTATTTTGCTTCCCATTCTTGAGGTCCCTGTTGATCTCGTGGTCCCTGTTGCCTCAGGATATCCAAGTTTAGATCAATCTTGTGTGCAGTTATCTGGAGTCATCCAGAGACATCTGCGGTTGATTACTGAAACCTATTTGATGTATCACTTAAATCCTATGTGTAAAAAAGTTCACACTATAGGCACAGTGAAAATGAAGCCCTGTGAGGCACTGTGAGCAAGGTAAGGGGCAGATAAGACTGCAGAGAACTTTGAAAATGTTCAGGGGAAAGAATAACTTTGCTAATTGTCCAGGTTGTATTTGACACACAGTTCTATCTTTAAGACATTTTTACTGTGTGTTCTTAGAGTAGTTTGAGAGTAAACCCTTGGAATTAACAATTTGTTTTAGTATATTGTAGCTTTCCCCCAGAATCTCAGAAGTAATCCCCAAATGCCCAGTACATTAATTAGGGTGGGTCTAGATTTGAACCTTTATTGCTTTCTGGAACTGGTTTCTCTGGGGATGATGGTGTTCAGCCTGGTTATTAGTTTTGGTTGTTCCACATTAGAGGGTTTCCAGAACCCTTGCCCTGCGCATAGCTATGGTGACAGGAAAAGCAGAAGCTTATGTGTTCTGTCAGAGCCCTTCTGAGCTTTGCAGTGGGTGTTATTTGACCAACAGGTGGAAGTTTGCCATCTCTTACATTTGGGTCTCTGGTCTTAATCTTACTCAGGATGCTGGAAAATTCTTTTATCTGCTGATGGCTGAGGTATTTCTGACTCTGGAATTTATCCTTGAGTATAGTTAGCTGAGTATGAAAAACTTAGTTTTAAAGAGTACAGTTCTTATCTTAGGTTTCTTGACTGACCTTTATTGTCCTTCTCCTTCACTGTTCTTATCTTAACAAGGTCACTTGACACTACAGTCAATGGAGGGATCCAGAATTTAAAAGTAGGTCCGTGGAATAAGGAGAGGCTGTTGTTGAATATGTTATGAGATTTGTCACAGACTTGGTAACTGGCTAAGGGATCACATGGGAGATGACATCTGGAAGGATAGAATTGACTTAGCCAGGCAGATGTTTGGCAAGGCCAAGGACATCTCTTGTGTTTAGTAGTTAGCAGAGGAAAACAGCTGAAAGTTTAATATGGTTGACAGTATAGGCACTGGGGAAAGATAACACTTCTGTGTACAGGAAATGAGAAAAGCAAAGACATGGGCTGTGGAATAGGCTGAGATGTAAACAGACTATTTAAATTAAGTTCTTAGGAAAATAAGTTCTGAACCCTGATGAGTATCAACATTTAAGTTATTTGTACAGAGAGAAGTTAACATCAATTGTTAACCAAGTATAAAGTCATTAACTTGCTAAACGAAAGGTTAATAAGAGCCTACAAGTGTCATAGAGATCACAACTACAGAAAGCAACGACCACCACTAGGACTGAGGGAACAAAGGGAAAAATATGAAATTATTAAAACTTGAAGCACCATGGAAGTGAAATGTTATTTTCACAGCAAAAGGAGTTGCCCTACGATAACAAAAGCTCACCAGCCAGGTTTAGTAAATGCCACCACTTGCTTATAATTGTTGCTTTACTTCTTTTGGGATAAAAATTATATTGAATTTTCTTTTTCTTCCCTTTGTTTTCCTGAAATTCTCAATATGACGTTGAGTATTGAAGGACAAGTGCTTGATTTCTTTCAGGTGCCTTATATGAAATCTTGTTTTTGTAAGGATTTAATGATAATTATGAGATTTAAAAACAAAGTTTCAAGAGTTATATAACTTAAAGTTGAACCAGTAACAGAGCTGCAACTTTGAGGCAACAGTCTCATATACTTCTATAGTAATAAAGCTATTGATATTTAGTTTCTTTCATCTGTTTTCCCTAGAGGTTTTGCTACTTGTTGATGAGTGCTTCAACCTACACATTTATGATGATGTGGGAGTATAGCCACTATCTCCTGTTTCTTCAAGCAATATCTCTATTCCTGCTAGATATCTTTTCCCTGAAGCAAAGTGACAAGGTATTACGGCATTTTGAAATGATTTTCAATTCACAGTTAAATGTATTTATAGCATTGTATGTTAAAACCTCTCTTTTCTTCATCCTTACGCTCATATGGTTCAGAACCCCGATGCATTCCAACATTTAAGCTATTTGGACAAAGAGAAGTTAACAATTGTTAACCAAGTATAAAATCATTAACTTGCTAAATGAAAGGATAATAAGAATCTGAAATTTTCATAGAGATCACAACTATAGAAAGCAGTTACCATTGCTAGGGAAAAATATGAAACTATTAGAATATAGGGACCTCACAAAGCTGATACTCAGACTTTTGAACTCAGAAATACCAGCTTTGCTTAAAAGTAAAGCCCTTCAGAATTGGGACCCAGGCCTCTGAGGATGTGGCTGTAGCTAGCTGGTCTTGGGTTTCTTGGGCTAGAAGAAGTAATGAAGCTGGTTCTTCAAGTGTTGGAAAAACTGCAGCTGCATTCAGTGCTTCCATAGGAAGTAATTGCTATGTTGGGGTGAAGAAGCATCACCAAGGTAAAATCACAGGAACCTCAAACCATCAGGAAGCAAGAGGAGGGAGCAGGCTCCTTCCTCCTCCAGACTTGCACGTTCCCGCTAGCATTTTCTATTGGCAGAGCTTTATAGGGAACCAACAGAAAAAGCAGAAATACAGATTGCAGAGTCCCAGGCCCAGCATTGCCAGGCAGGGGATAGAAAGGGGACTTTGGAGTTGAGAGAGTTATTTAGTAACTGGCACACATCTGTAGAATCAGAGCCCAAATCAAGAATAGAACATAAGCTAGGTGTGGTGGCAGACACCTGTAGTCCCAGCTACTCGGGAGGCCAAAGCAGGAGGCTTGCTTGAGCCCTGGGCAACATAGTGAGACCGTATCTCTACAAAAAATTAAAAAAATTAGCCAGGTGAGGTGGGGGCTGAAGTGGAAGGATCACTTGGCCAGTGTGAACACACCCCACCTCTAACAAAAGAAAAAAAAGAGAATACATCAGTACCAACTCTCAGAAGACTCCATCATGCTGTCTCTCCCAGTTGTTGCTTCAACCCCCAAGGGTAGCTACTGTTCTAACTTGGAGACTTGTAAGAGTGAGGTATCTTTTTTTCAAGTGGCTCTGGCTATTATTGACTTTATTTTTCCTTTTTTTTTTTTTTTCATTTTATTTTTACGTATTTTTGCTTTTTTGGAGACAGGATCCCACTCTGTCACCCAGGCTGGAGTGCAGTGGCTCAATCATGACTCACTGCAACTTCCACCTCCCAGGCTTAAGTGATCCTCCCACCTCAGCCTCCTAGTACCTGGGACTACAAGTGCGTGCCACCACACCCCTCTGATTCATTCTTTCCTTCCTTCCTTCCTTCCTTCCTTCCTTCCTTCCTTCCTTCCTTCCTTCCTTCTCTCTCTCTCTCTCTTGCTTTCTTTCTCTCTCTCTCTCTTGCTTTCTTTCTCTCTCTCTCTCTTTCTTTCTTTCTTTTTTTTTTTTGAGACACAATCTTGCTGTCACCCAGCCTGAGTGCAGTGGTGCAATTTTCTTGCCTCAACCTCCTGAGTAGCTGGGATTACAGGCACGCACCACCATGTAATTTTTTTTTTGCATTTTTAGTAGAGACGGGTTTTCACCACGTTGACCAGGCTGGTCTTGACCTCCTGGCCTCAAGTGATCTACCCTCCTTGGCCTCCCATGGTGCTGGGATTATAGGCATGAGCCACCTCACCCAGCCCTGGCTGATTTTTCTATTTTTCATAGAGATGGGGTTTTGCCATGTTGTCCAAGCTGGTCTAAAACTCCTGGGCTCAGGCCATCCTCCTGCCTCTGCCTCCCAATGTGCTGGGATTATAGATGTGAGCCACTGAGCCTGGCCTGTTTTTTAGCATATAACTACTTCCTGGCAGATAGTCTATTAAAACATTGCATTTAACATTGTTATGCTCACTAGTTAGACCAAAAACAATACTTTTCTCCAATGGTACATTTAATGGCAGTATATTTTCACTGGGTAGGTTTTGAGAGCTGCTGCTAAAAATTATGATTTTTGATTTATGGGATTTGAGGTTGCATAGATGAATTTTAATAATAGGGCAAACTAAGAAATTAAGAAGGTTCTTCAAGTCTGATTTAGACACTGATGCTTTTAAAGCTCTTTGTTTCCAGAAAGTTTTTAAGAAAACAGTGATAAATTCATTATACACTGTAACATTAAAATATATACATATTTATATGTATATGTATATGTATACATATGTGTATGTGTATATGTATGTGTGTGTGTGTGTGTGTGTGTATATATATATATATATTTTTTTTTTTTTTCCTGAGACAGAGTCTTGCTCTGTCACCCAGGCTGGAGTGCAGTGGTGCAATCCTATCTCACTGCAACCTCCACCTACCAAGTGAGTTCAAGTGATTCTCATGCCTGAGACTCCCAAATAGCTGGGATTACAGGCATCCACCACCATGCCCAGCTAATTTTTTTTTTTTTAATTGGAGATGGGGTTTCACCATGTTGGCCAGGCTGGTCACGAACTCCTGACTTCAAGTGATCCACCCACCTTGGCCTCCCAAAGTGCTGGGATTACAGACATGAGTCATCATGCCCAGCCAACATTAAAAATATTGATTGAACATTTGCACAATACTTTCCTAAATTATAGTAGAGCATTTACTGTATAATTATAGTTAAATCTAAATGAAAACATTTATGATAAAATATAACTTATTCTCATTTATTTTTGTCACAACAGGTTTATGAAGTTTATAAAATCTACGTATTTTCTCTCTTTCTGGGATATTTACTGCAGTTTGAAAATCCAGCTTTGTTGGTATCTCCTTTATTAAGTTTAGTAGCAGCCTTAATGCTTGCTAAGTGCCTTCAGGTAATTAGAATTGTCTTTTTATTGTTCTTATTTTGATTTTTTGTTTGTTTGTTTTTTTTGAGAGGGAGTCTCGCTCTGTTGCCCAGGCTGGAGTGCAGTGGCGTGATCTCAGCTCACTGCAACCTTTGCCTCCTGGGTTCAAGTGATTCTCCTGCCTCAGCCTCCCAAGTAGCTGGGATTACAAGTATGTGTCACCATGCCCAGCTAGTTTTTGTATTTTTAGTGGAGACGGGGTTTCACCATGTTGGCCAGGCTAGTCTCGAACTCCTGACCTCAGGTGATCTGCCCATCTCAGCCTCCTAAAGTGCTGGGATTACAGGCTTGAGCCACCGTGCTCAGCTGTTCTTATGATTACTTTTTAAATTGTTAATTTTTAACACTTCACTTTTTTGTTCATATGATTTTTTTCTCCACAGCTGAATGTGAAGAAAGGAAGTTTTGTAGCTAAAATAATAAAAATGATTAATTTTTACTTGGTGTGTACTCTGACAATAACATTGAATATTATAATGAAGGTAAGTAACTCTCTGAGATTCATATAGTAAAACAAAATGAATAATGAAATATATTGGACTAACTTTTAATGAGAATAATGAGATAGCACAGTAATAGAGTTTGGACAGTATAATTTTGAGTTAACAATCATAACTAGCATATTGGGTGTGAAAGTAGGATTCTGATTCTTTTTTGTATATAGTCAAAGAGAAAACGGGAATGCATATTTTTCATTAAGTTAAAAATTTCATCATTACCCAGTTAACCTTAAGTAATATATGGAATAAAGTGAGACAAATGAAAAATGTTTAGAAGAGTGGGTGAGTTACTTGAGCCTAGTGGGATAAGGTTGAAACGTTCTTGATCACCTGAGGTCAGGAGTTCAAGACCAGCCTGACCAACATGGTGAGACCCATCTCTACTAAAAATACAAAAAATTAGCTGGGCATAGTGGCACATGCCTGTAATCTCAGCTACTTGGGAGGTTGAGGCAGGAGAATCGCTTGAACCTGGGAGGTGGAGGTTGCAGTGAGCAGATACCTTGCCATTGCACTCCACCCTGGGCAATAAGAGTGAAACTCCATCTCAAAAAGAAAGAAAAGAAAAAACAAGAAATGTTTTTACTACCCCTTTGTAGTTGTAGTTTATCCTTCAGTATAAAGTCATGTAATTGATTTATGTCAGTAAATCTCCTTGCTTTCGTAGTCATGCCATATATTCTTTATCCATATTTTTGTTTTTTAGTCTTGCTGTTTTCTGTCTCTAGTTTTGGGAGAAGCATGTGCAGTAAGCATAGCTGATATTTCTTTGTTAACTGGTGTTTTTCTCTTCTAGATGTTTGTCCCACACAAAGAAAATGGGCACATGCTCAAATTCCTTGAAGTAAAATTTGGACTAAATATGACTAAGTAAGTTTTAAATTAAGTAAGTTTACCTAAATCTATACCACTTAGACAATAAGGATAAAAAATACTCAATGGCTGGGCATGGTGGCTCACATCTGTAATCCCGGAACTTTGGGAAGCTAAGGTGGGTGGATCGTGACCACTTGAGTCCAGGAGTTTGAAGCCAGCCAGGGTTGTGGCAAAACCCCATCTCTACAAAAACAAACAAACAAACAAACAAAAAACACTTAGGATGTGTTTGCCACATTATTGGACTTTAACATTTTGTTGTAAATGCAGTGAGTTGAAGTAGACATTCTCAGTCCATCAGTGAGCATTTCTGAACATCACTCCATCTCTAACATCCTTCCCCACTGCTGGGGATTCAGGATTGGAGCTTGGAGATGCATGAGAAATGAGGATGCAGATAAACATATATACAACCAGGAGTCTTGTTGATCATACTTAGGGTGGGAAAAATGTTTATCCTGATTCATTACTGCTTAAAAGGTTTACATTTCAAATTTTATGATTTATCTTAGTAAGTAGATACCTCTTTTTTAAATGGATCCTAGTTGAGTTACATTTGCCAATACAGAGTAGGTCTATCCAATAATAATATAATGTGGGGGTCTGTTGTGGGGAACTAGGGGAGGGACAGAGGTGGGTAGGGAGGTTGGGGAGAAATGCCAGATATAGGTGATGGGGGGATGGAGGCAGCAAACCACATTACCATGTATGTACCTATGCAACAATCCTGCATGTTCTGCACATGTACCTCGGAACCTAAAGTGCAATTAAAAAGATAATTATATATATTAAAAAAATAATAATGTAGTGTGAACCACTTATGTAATTGTAATTTTCTAGTAGCCATATTTAAAAAAATACAAAGAAACAAGTGAAATTAATTTTAATATATTTTCTCTAATATATAAAAATATTTTAACTTGTAAGCAGTGTAAAAATTATTAAGGAGACATTTTGTTTTTCAAATTCTTATTTTGCTTTTTCTTTGAAATCCTGGGTATATTGTAAAGTATGTCTCAATTTGAATTGGCTACATTTTAACTGTTTAATAACTGCGTGTCTCTAATGGCTACCATATTCGACAATGCATTTGTAGAAGTTAGCCGGCTGAATTGTTTGTTGTCTTCTAGGTAAAGATAGAAATGAAAATTCCCTAAAAACTATATTGGGCTTTTGAGATAGTCACATTACTTAGTAATAAAAAGCGGCAGTTTTGCATTTATTAGAGCAGTTTTTTGGTGAGTGCACATGCTTCGTTTACTAATACAATACTATTATCTTTTTTTTTGAGACAGAGTTTCGCTGTTGTTACCCAGACTGGAGTGCAATGGCACGATCTTGGTTCACCGCAACCTCCGCCTTCTGGGTTCAAGCAATTCTCCTGCCTCAGCCTCCCGAGTAACTGGGACTACAGGCACGCACCACCATGCCCAGCTAATTTTTGTATTTTTAGTGGAGACAGGGTTTCACCGTGTTGACCAGGATGGTCTCGATCTCTTGACCTCATGATCCACCCGCCTCGGCCTCCCAGAGGTGCTGGGATTATAGGCGTGAGCCACCGCACCCAGCCTTTTTTTTTTTTTTTTTTTCCGAGACAGAGTCTCGCTCTGTCACTAGGCTGGAGTGCAGCGGTGCAATCTTGGCTTACTGCAACATCTGCCTCCCGGGTTCAAGCAATTCTCCTCCTCAGCCTCCCGAGTAGCTGGGACTACAGGCATGTGCCACCACGTCCAGCCAATTTTTATATTTTTAGTGGAGACAGGGTTTCACCATGTTGGCCAGGATGCTCTCAATCTCTTGATCTTGTGATCCGATCCCCTTGGCCTCCCAAAGTGCTCAGATTACAGGCATGAGCCACCTCGCTCAGCTATTATTAGCTTCTTTTATAAAGGATAGTACCTTGCTGTTACAAGTAAATGAGTGTAGGAAATGTGTTTTTTCTTAGTTTTTACTGATATTAAAAAAATACTTCTGTGTTCAGTACTTTAAAATGTCTGTGAGTTTAATATCATGCTTTTTGTCTTCTATAGGAATTTTACAATGAATTGGCTCCTCTGTCAAGAATCCCTGCAGGCACCATCTCAAGATTTTTTTCTGCGATTGACACAGTCTTCTTTATTACCTTTCTATATTCTAGTGTTGATTATTTGTTTACTTTCTATGTTGCAAGTTATTTTTAGGAGGATTAAGTAAGTAACTATGAGAATCAATCATATTCCTAACATACATTATGGAAATATATAAAATACTTATTTTTAATATTTTTCCAATTTTTTATATTTGCTTTAGAGCTTCTAATTCCATTCTCTTTTTTTGACATGGAAAATATCATTATAAGATGTGTTGATCAGGTGCAGTGGCTCATGCCTGTAATCCCAGCACTTTAGGAGGCCAAGGCGGGCAGATTACGAGTCAGGAGTTCGAGACCAGCCTGACCAATATGTCGAAACCCTGTCTCTACTAAAAATACAAAAATTAGCTGAGCATGGTGGCACGTGCCTGTAATTCCAGCTACTGAGGAGACTGAGGCAGGAGAATTGCCTGAACCCAGGATGCAGAGGTTGCAGTGGGCTGTGATCGTAGTGCCACTGCACTCCAGCCTGGGCAACAGAGCAAGACTCCATCTCAAAAAAAAAAAGATGTGTTAACCAGAAAAATTTAAACTTAGTTTTTATACATCTAAATAGGTAATGGCTAGATTTAATATCATTAGAGACTTAATATATAACTGATATTTAAATAATCAGTTAATCTTTTACAGACTAATTCACTAATTTATACAGATTTTTACTTAATATAAGAATAATTTCTTCTATTTAACTTAAATGAAGTTAGCAATATAAGTAATTTCAAATTATAAAGTTTGAGGCCAGGTGCATTGGCTCATGCCTATAATTCCAACAATTTGAGAGGCTGACGCAGGAGGATTGCTTGAGGCCAGGTGTCCAAGACCAGCCTGGGCAACATAGTAAGACCCCCGTCTCTTAAAAAAAAAAAAAAGAAAGAAAGAAAAGTCTACAAAGTTTGACTAGCCTTTGATGTTTTTTCATGTTTGAAAAGAGGTTGTGTATAATTTTTTCATTTTGAGAATTTAGTTACTCAAATTATGATTTAACTACATTAGCAATTGCTAGTGGAGTCATAATTGATCTTCAAAGAAGAAACTACAAATCTGTTTTTTTTTTTTTTTTTGTGATAGAGTCTTATTCTGTCGCTAGGCTAGAGTGCAGTGGCATGATCTTGGCTCACTGCAATCGCTGCTTCCCTGGTTCAAGCGATTCTCCTGCCTCAGCTTCCCGAGTAGCTGGGACTATAGGCATGCACCACCTCACCCAGCTAATTTTTGTATTTTTAGTACAGATGAAGTTTCATCATGTTGGCCAGGCCAGTCTTTAACTCCTGACCTCAAGTGATCCACCCACGTTGTCCTCCCAAAGTGCTGGGATTACAGGCAAGAGTCACTGCGCCTAGCCCTTTATTATTATTCTGAAAATTCATGTTTAGTCTTAGAGTTTGTAGTCTTCAGGTTCTAAAAGCCATTCGCAGCAACTTAAGAGATATGTGATAGGTATTTAACTACCAGAACATACTTTCAAATTTTAAGGATCACATATTTTTTGTTATGACAAAATATAAAATTTTAGGTATGTCCTTCAAAGATGATAAACAGTGTATCTTTGGTTTTTCAAAAATATATTTTCAAAGTATTAAAAAATAGATTTTCTTTTTGTAGCGGTAAGTCCCTGAAGGAAACTGTTACTCTTGAAGATGGACGAATTGGAGAAAGACCAGAAATAATTTATCATGTAATTCACACTATTTTATTGGGTTCTCTTGCAATGGTTATAGAAGGGTAAGTGTACTTTATTTGATCCCTTTGTTTTTACAAAGATTGTCGGCCAGGCGAGGTAGCTTACACCTGTAATCCCAGCACTTTGGGAGGCTAAGGCAAGCAGATTGCCTGAGATCAGGAGTTTGAGACCAGTGTGACCAACATGGTGAGATTTCATCTCTTCTAAAAATACAAAAATTAGCTGGGTGTGGTGGCATGTGCCTGTGGTCCCAGCTACTGGGGAGGCTGAGGTGGCAGCATCTCTTGAACCTGGGAGGTCAAGGTTGCAATGAGCTGAAATTGTGCCGCTGTACTCTAGCCTGAGCAACAGAGCAAGACCCTGTCTCAAAAAAAAAAAAAAAGCCAAAAGAAACAAAGATTGTCTTTTTTAATGGTAATAAGTAGATAAATCCAAGAATATATTTATAAAACTTTATAAAAACTCAAAACCTATATACCTATAAACTTTCTTAATTTATCTGGAGTTAAAGGTGTTTATAGTACAATGAACTGACATTTACTTCTTCATTCATTTGTTAAAAAAAACTATTGGCCAGAAGTGGTGGCTCACGCCTGTAATCCAAGCACTTTGGAGGCCAAGACAGGCGGATCACCTGATGTCGGGAGTTCAAGACCAGCCTGACCAACATGGTGAAACCCTGTCTTAATAAACAAACAAACAAATAAATAAATAACTGTTGAATTTATTCCAAGTTCTAGATATTATGCTAGGTGCTGAAGGTACCTTGGTAAGCAATAGTAGAACACACAGTCTCTAACCTTATTTAACTTATGGCCTAATGGAGGTGACAGATGTTAATCATACAAAAATAAAATTACAACTTTGACAGGCAGGGATACAAACCACTATACTAATGAGGAGCTGTTAAAATTACAACTTTGGTAAGTGAAGGAGAGGTACATGGTGCTGTGAGAACATAGAAAACAGATTTGACTGGTTCTCTAAGGAAAAAGTACCTGAGACCTGAAGGGTAAGTAGGAGTGGACGAGGTGAAAAAAGAGGCAAGAGGACTGCAGGTAGAGGGAATAGCTTATGCCCAGGCCTGGGCAGGAAGGATCATGGTGCATTGCTGGTGGGAGGAAGAGGAGCTCAGTATGGCTGAAGGCACAGTGAGCATTCAGTAGGCTTTGTTGAGGACTTTGGAGTTTTCCCTTTTATCCTTTACTTACCTCATTTCTTTTATTGTCTTTCAATGGCAAATGATAAGTTGTGTAATAATTGTTTAGGGAGTTTTAATCCTTGAAACATATCTTGCATTATTTATTTTTAAGTCTTTAGTTTTTTTTAACTTACTTTGTTCCTGCTTCTATAGAAAATCATGCCCTCTTGTTAATAAACTTTATTAAAATGCATCCATTCAGCAGAAGGTTTTAGCTTTTTCTTTCTTTTTTTTTTGAGACGGAGTTTCACTCTTGTTACCCAGGCTGGAGGGCAATGGTGCGATCTCAGCTCACCGCAACCTCCACCTCCTAGGTTCAGGCAATTCTCCTGCCTCAGCCTCCTGAGTAGCTGGGATTACAGGTGAGCCACCGTGCCTGGTGGTTTTAGTTTTTTCATACACTTTTTTGTTTTTTTTCTTTTTGAGATGCAGGCTCACTCTGTCACCAGGCTGGAGTACATTAGTTTGATCTCGTGTCACTGCAACATCCGCCTCCCAGGTTCCAACAATTCTGCCTCAGCCTCCTAAGTAGCTGGGACTATAGGCACACGCTACCACGCCCAGCTAATTTTTGTATTTTGTAGTAGAAATGGGGTTTTACCATATTGGCCAGGCTGATCTCGAACTCCTGACCTTGTGATCCACCTGCCTCGGCCTCCCAAAGTGCTGGGATTACAGGCATGAGCCACCACACCCAGCCTAGTTTTTTCATACTCTTTTGCTAATAGTGGAAGATATAAAAAATATATATATGATAGGATCCCCCCTTCCTCAGAAGCACACAGTCTAGGTGAGTAAATGCAGTTTTCAGAAATTATGAGACCATCCTTACTTATGTCACCAGCTGCAAATTTAGGAGCCCCCCAAACCACTTTCAGGCTCAATAACTAACAAGGACTCAAAGAACTTTTCTAAGTTATTATAGTCGCCTTTTGGCTCTCTGAGCAGCACCATGGCGGTTGGCAAGAACAAGTGCCTTATAAAAGGCGGCAAAAAGGGAGCGAAGAAGAAAAGTGGTTGATCCATTTTCTAAGAAAGATTGGTATGATGTGAAAGCACCCGCTATGTTCAGTATAAGAAATAATTGGGAAGACCCTAGTCACCAGGACCCAAGGAACCAAAATTGCATCTGTTGGCCTCAGGGGTCGAGTGTTTGAAGTTAGTCTTGCTGATTCACAGAATGATGAAGTTGCATTTAGGAAATTCAAGCTGATTACCCAAGATGTTCAGGGCAAAAACTGCCTGACTAACTTCCATGGCATGGATCTTACCTGTAACAAACTGTGTTCCATAGTCAAAAAATGGCAGACAATGATTGAAGCCCATGTTGATGTCAAGACTACCAATGGTTACTTACTTTGTCTGTTCTGTGTTGGTTTTACTAAAAAATGCAACAATCAGATAGGGAAGACTCTGATGCTCAGCACCAACAGGGCCACCAAATCTGGAAGAAGATGGTGGAAATCATGACCCGAGAAATGCCGACAAATGACTTGAAAGAAGTGGTCAGTAAATTGATTCCAGACAGCATTGGGAAAGGCATAGAAAAGGCTTACCAATCTATATCCTCTCCATGATGTCTTCGTTAGAAAAGTAAAAATGCTGAAGAAGCCCAGGTTTGAATTGGGAAAACTCATGGAGCTTCATGGTGAAGGCAGTAGTTCTGGAAAAGCCACTGGGGATGAGACAGGTGCTAAAGTTGAACGAGCTGATGGATATGAACCACCAGTCCAAGAATCCGTTTAAAGTTCAGCCTTAGAATAGTCGCAAATAAAAAGTCTTATTTGTGGGAAAAAAAAGAAAAGAAAAGTTATTATAGTCAAGTTACAGTTTGTTACAGTGAAAGGATACATATTAAAATTAGCAGAGGAAAGAGACCCATAGGACAAGGTCCAGGAGATACCAAAGCACAGAACTACTGTTTGTTCTCTCCCAGTGGAATCATGCAGATTCCTGATTTTCTCTCAGGAATGATGTGTGACAGTATACACAGAGTACTGTCAATCAGGGAAGCTCACCCATGCTTTGTGTTTAGGGTTTGTATTGGGGCTCAGTTATATATACATGATTGACCACCTGTGTGGCTGACCTTGTTTTCAGCCATTCAAAGGTTGAACTGATACCACATAGCCCAAGGCTCCCACCCAGGCAAACTTGGGTCCTTTGCTGTTTTGTAAAACCACGGTGGTTTACATTTACACTCTGGCCCCAGATTCTTCCAGTCTCTTCTAAGTTTGACACCAGGGAATATATCATGAAAGAGTCTGGTTGTTCTCCTTAGTATTCATTACAGAAGTTGTCCCTTGAAATGTTATTTTTACTTGATAATCTGTACTAAGCACTGATACCTATTAATTTTTCTAAACTCTTCCTTTTCTATTTTTAGCAGTTAGCATCTCCTATGGAGATGGGCTCCTTTTGTTTTCTTTATAATCTACAACATAAAGTAATGTATTTTCTTCTAATAATACAAGTTAATTTTTTCTGTACACCTGAATTTCTAATCTTTTTAATTTAAAAGCTCAATTTTTAAATTTTTATTTTTAAAAAATCTTAAAAGTACTATATGCAGAGTATAACAATCCCTAATAATAAATAGAAGTAAAAAATAAAAATCTCTCCATTCTACCTTTCTACTCCTCAGAGATCACTACTGTTAGCAGTATATTTCCATATTTTGTTTTTTGTTTTATTGCTTGTTTGAGATGGAGTCTCACTCACTCTCTTCCCCAGGCTGAAGTGCAGTGTCATGTTCTCAACTCATTGCAACCTCCACCTCCTAGGTTCAAGCGATTCCCCTGCCTCAGCCTCTCCCGAGTGACTGGGATCACTGGCACGCACCACCACAACTGGCTAATTTTTTTGTATTTTTAGTAGAGATGGGGTTTCGCCATGTTAGCCAGGCTGGTCTCACACTCCTGACCCCAGGTGATCCACCCACCTTGGCCTCCCAAAGTGCTGGGTTTACAGGCGAGAGCCACCACACCAGCTAAATTGTTGTATTTTTAGTGGAGACAGGGTTTCACCTTATTGACCAGGTTGGTCTCTAACTCCTGATCTCAAGTGATCTGCCTGTCTTAGCCTCCCAAAGTGCTGAGATTACAGGCATGAGCCACTGCACCCAGCCTCAGGTGTTATTTTTCCTTGTGCCATTTACCTATATTTAAAAAAATTAAAAGCAAAAGTTAGGGTAACACTGCAGATGAAGTTTTATATTTTGCTTTTTCGTTTTTCAATAATTATGTAATCAATACCTATTAAAGAACACAATTTTTTTTTTTTTTTTAATTTTCTTGCTATTAAAGCAAAATGCTGTAGTTAAAACCCTTGTGTGTGGCCAGGCATGGTGGCCCATGTCTGTAATCCCAGCACTTTGGGAGGCTGTGGGGTGGGTGGATCACTTAAGGTTAGGAGTTTGCCGCTAGCCTGGCCAACATGGTGAAACCCCATTTCTATTAAAAATATGGATATTAGCTGGCATGATGGCACGTGCCTGTAATCCTAGCTACTTGGGAGGCTGAGGTAGGAGAATCGCTTGAACCTGGGAGTTGACGTTGCAGTGAGCCAAGATCACGCTGCTGTATTCTAGCCTGGGCAACAGCAAGACTCTGCTTAAAAAAAAAAAAAGCTTGTATATATACCTTTATACTCTTATGCTAATATATTTGTAGGCTACATTACTAGAAATGGCATTGCCTATCTTAGAGTTATTTGGGTTTTTTTAAGAGAGAGTCTTGCTCTGTTGCCCAGGCCCTGGAGTACAGTGGTGTGATCTTGGCTCACTGCAGCTTCTGCCTCCCAGGCTTAGGTGATCCTCCTGCCTCAGCCTCCCAAGTAGCTGGGACCACAGGCATGTGTCACTATGCCTGGCTAATTTTTGTAGTTTTGGTTTCACTGTATTGCCCAGTTGGTCCCAAACGCCTGGCTTCAAGTGATCTACCTGCCTCAGCCTCCCATTTGGTGGTACTCCCAGTCCACCAAATTGCCTTCTGAAATGCTCTAATAGCTTATACTCTCTCTAAGAATACAATTTTGCTGCATCCTCATCAGTATTAATGCTTTTATTTTATCCTCATTTGTTCCCAAGTCTCCTTGATTTTTAAAAAACTGGATAACAATCTGTTGCTGAAAATCAAAGGCTAAGCTTTTTTACTGTTCCTTAACATTTTGGTATTTTTGTGTAGGAAAGAGCTCAGAGAATAAAAATTAGATAATAACGATATTCACAGGATGTCTCATATATGATTCCTTTTGTGTTTTCTAGCTTGAAGTACATCTGGATTCCTTATGTGTGCATGTTAGCAGCATTTGGTGTATGTTCTCCTGAACTTTGGATGACACTTTTCAAGTGGCTTCGATTAAGAACTGTACACCCAATATTGTTGGTGAGTTGTCATTTTGTGTTAAGTATTTGTTTCTCTTCTAACTATATAAAATCAAATGCTAATAAATGAAAACTACATTGAAACCTATTAAAATAGCATGAATAAATTACATTATGACTTACAGGAGGAAAAACTGATCCTGTGCAAAACATTTTTAAAAATAATTTCTGGGTGGGGCTCAGTGGCTCATGCCTGTAATCCCAGCACTTCGGGAGGCAGAAGTGGGTGGATCACTTGAGGCTAGGAGTTTGAGACCAGCCTGACCAACGTGGTAAAACCCTGTCTCTACTTAAAATATTAGAAAAAAAAAAAATAGCCGGGTGTAGTGGTGCATGCCTGTAGTCCCAGGTACCCAAGAGGCTGAGAATTGAGAATCACTTGAACTCAAGAGTCAGAGGTTGCAGTGAGCTGAAATCATACCACTACAATCCAGCCTGGGCAACAGAGCAAGGCTCTGTCTAAAAAAAAAAAAAAGAAATTATGATTATCACAGTAATGCATTTCAATGCATACAATCTAACAAAAAAAAAGTAAAAATGTAAGTGAATCAGTAATGTGGGAGATCATCAAGAATTAATTTTGTTTTGTTTTAAGACGGGGTTTCACCATATTGGTCAGGCTGGTCTTGAACTCCTGACCTCAGGTGATCCGCCCGCCTCAGCCTCCCAAAGAATTAATTTTTATGATATCTTTCTTGGTTTGATTTAGAACTATGGCATATTTTCTATGTGAATGGAACATTCTGCCTGCTAGGTGTTGGAATACAAAGATAATTATAGCATAGTTAATTTCATCAAATGGATTATAATCTCTGGGCATAAAAACAGATAATAAGAATTTGGTTCTCTCTCTGCTGCTCCCTCCTTTTCCACTTTCTCCAGCTTGCCTGCTCTTCCTTCTGTTCCTGTCCCGTCTCCTAAAAAACAAAAAGAGGTTTTCATAGGGTGCTATTAGAACATAGGGAAGGGCTACTTAATTCTTTTTGTGCTTGTTGTTGCGGGGATTCAAATAAGGCTTTCCAATCTGAGATTGAAAAGATATTTCGTTATTAGGCAAATAAAGGTGAAAGAAAGGGTATTCATGGTAGCAGGAATAGCCACAGAGGTAGGCAAAGAATATGATGTAATCAAAGGGACTGGGGGACAAAACACAATATATTTTGTTTCCTTGGTGCATAAAGTGTGAGGTAGGTAGGGGTGGTCAAGAAATGAGACTGGAGAAGTGAAGGAAGGTGAGGCCATGGAGGCCCTGAGTGTCATGCTGCAGAACTGCCTCTCATGCTGTCGGCAAGGGGAAAGCATTGGGAAATGTATGCCTCATGGAAAGTGAGAGAGTCAGACTTTCATTTTTTATTTGCCCCACTCTTACAATTCTGCGAAGGATAGTCCTACGGGAAACAGACTGCAGTCACAGAGGAGGCCAGAGTGGATAGAAGTAATTGAAGCTTCGATTTATTGAATGCTCACTATGTCAGGTACTGTTTGAAGCATTTCACATGCTATTCAATCCTAGATTTTCTCTGTTTTATAAAAAGAAACCAAGGCTTTAATTGGTTAAATAACTTGCTTGAGATTATGGAGCTTATGAGTATGGAAACCAGGATTCATGTCCAGGATTTTCTTTTCTCTTTTTTTTTGAGACAGTCTCACTGTTTCTCCCAGGCTGGAGTGCAGTGGCACAGTCATGGTTCACTGCAGACTTAAACAACTGGCCTTAAGCAATCCTCCTGCCACATCCTCCAAGTAGTTGGGACTTCAGGCACACACTACCATGCCTAATTTAATTTTGTTTTAATTTTTCTTTTTAGAGACAGGGTCTCACTATATTGCCCAATCTGGTCTCAAACTCCTGGACTCAAGCAATCCTCCCACCTTGGCCCCTTAAATCCTGGGATTATAGGTGTGAACGATCACACCCAGCCACACCCAGGTTTTTCTGACTGCAAAGCCCATTCGATTTATACTATGCCACATTGGAATGAAAAAAAGTAATTAGAATATCAGTAAGTCTCACTGATTGATTGAGTATGGGCAAATGAGGAAGAGGGAGACACGTTGGATGTTTCCTAGGTTTCTGGTTGATATGACTGTGGATCACAGGGTCACTAAAGACATGGGACAATAGGAAGAACAGGTTTTATTATAGCAGGAAGATGATTCATTATCCTTAATAATAGTCATGTTGTGTTTTGCCAATCTTACTTTGAGGAGAATTTATTCATTCTTATTTTAAATGACTAGTGTACTGATATATATTAGCTATTTTTCTTGTGTTAATTCATTGTCTTTTTTGTTGTTAGCTTTTCATGTGCTAGCCTTTGTGAGATCTGTATAACATAAATTTCTGGCAAATTTTTCAAACATTGACTTGCTAGTTGAAATATTATGAGCATTATCTTTTTAATGTTCTGCCTTAAATTTTTATAGGAATGTTTATGTCTCACTTTACTTCCAACTTAATATCTTTGGAACTCTAGTTTTCACCCATCTCATTCTGCGAACTGGGTTCTATGTTCACTTTAGTTTCTTTGAAATTTGTATAACTATAGAGATATATGATTGGTCATAGAATCAGTGTGTATTCTGACATGTATTTATCTGTAATCCTTTTTGCTTTAATATTTTAGGCTCTTATTCTGAGCATGGCTGTGCCCACTATAATAGGTCTCAGCTTATGGAAAGAGGTAAAAAAAAGTTAGACTTTTATATCAATAAAATGTACATTATCTACAAAGGTAGTGATAAATTTATATGTGTGGGTAGAAAACATGTTGAGGCACTATCCTAAAAAAATAAAATGTAATATTCTTAGTCATGCTTAATTTTTTTGTCATTAGGAACATTGTAGAAGAGCTAAAACATTTCTAGAATGCCACCTGATGCCATTTTCTGTAGTCTAATGCTAGTGTTAATTCAGTCTATAATTGGCAAAGGAAATTGCTGAGTAAATAGGAATTAATATTTTGGTATTGTAAAGTTTTAGTAACTAAAACTTTATCATCTTTAAAATGATATAAATTCTGCAAATTATTGGACCTGAAAATGTATGTATGTATGTATGTATTTAGTATGTGTGTCCTGAAAGATACAACTGATGATCAATTTATCATTGTTTGATAAGGATAAAATTATTTATTGAGTCAAAACAGTGAATTAACCATAAAATAGATGATTTGGATTAAAAAAATAAGCAGGCTATTGAAGGAAAGTGAAGATCCATCATGACATTTTTTCCATGTGAACAGTGTTGTAATATCATTTGCCTTAAGTTAGTCTGTTAGTCTTTTGAAATACTGTGGAACAGTTTTAAACTTTCTAATTACTGACATACACCTTTGGGGGATTTTTTTTTTCTTTTGCATTTTAGTTTTTTCCAAGATTAATGACAGAATTAATGGAACTACAGGAATTCTATGACCCAGACACAGTGGAACTTATGACCTGGATAAAGTAAGGATTGAAGTGCCCAAGACTATTGTTAAGCTGTAAATCACTGCATGCTATCTACTGAATTCAGGGGAAATAATAAAGTAATACTTTAATAATAAATTAATACCAAATTTTTCTCATAAAACTCAGGAGTTTTTGGGATATTTAGGTTTTGGTTGGACTTTGTGATTCTAATTTTCTGCTCATCTCCACGGGCTCGAAAATAAAGAATTGGTCAATATGAGATTTGAAACTCCCATTGTCAAACACTTAGAAATATGGGATAAAAAAGAACAGGTATTGTTTTATTTAGGTAGTCAAGAGGATGCTTATTTTGCCCTGTATTAGAGGTGAATTAGCAATGGATTACTAGTCTTGATAACCAGGGGTTTTAGATTTTAATGCCCACACAGGACAGGAGATGTGATTTTAGGCTTATGGAAGCAGGGAATTGGAATTGAGAACTCCCCCAACACACACATATGTAACTGAGGGACCCTCAAAAAGCTACACTGGCAGTGAAAGGATAGAATAGCAAACTACCACATTAGTGAAAGGGTGGAATAGCAAAATACCCAGTGGTAGAGAAAGAAGATAAGAAAGCATGTCTCTCTAACATTCATCTCTTGGTCAAAAAAAAAATCTCCCTTCTCAATTTATAGTAATGGATCTGAATTCATATGGGTTTATAGTTTGAAATTATATTTGTCTAAGAAACCTCCAATTAAGAAATTAGCATTAAAAGTAGTTTGGGGTTGGTGTGGAATGGCTGACACAACCTCAACCCATGTTATACAGGATTCCATAAGTAAAGTTTCATGCAGGTAAGCTCTGAAATTTTAAAACACATAAACAGTTCAGTACATCTCATGATAAATAGCAGAAGTAGACATCTAGCTATTTCTGATAATAAAATTTGTGTCATTTAGGATTTGCTCTATAACAGAGTGCCACAAAACTTAGTGGCTTATGAACAATAAGCATTTGTTACTCCACACCATCTTGAGAATTAGCAGAGTTGGGGTGCTGGGGAGGAACCTTTGGGTCTGAGCCAGTTCCACTGGGACTGGATAGTCTGGCATGGCCTCTGTCACAAGTCTAGGGTTGGCTAAGTGTCAGCTGGGGGGATCAAATTGACTTGGGCCTCTGTGTCTCATTGTCTAACAGGTTAGCTTGGGCTTGTTCACAAGGTGGTATTCGAAGAATTCCCTAGAGCAGCAAGAGAGGGCAAATATCAGTGTCAAGCATGTTTTAAGTCACTGCTTATATGGTGCTTACTGTTGTCCTGTTGGCCAAAGCAAGTCACATAATTAAGACCAGTTCCCTCCAAGAACATGACCATGGGGAGAGGAATCATTGTGGCTATTTTGTAACCAGTCTGTTCCATGGATGGATACTATTTAATAACTACACTGAAATTTATTAAAGACATAAAGGAAGACAAGAAAACATGAAACAATGTTGAAATACTATCAAAAAAGACCAGAAAAATATGGGAAAAAAGACAAAAAGTATTTCTAGAAATTTAAAATAGGTTTATAGAAATAAGAATAGGTTTAGTATAATGTCTTGTTACTATAACATACCTTCTATTTTATAAAAATAGTTTTCTTTAGATCACCCTTAACTGTCACCCATTAATACTTTTTGTGAATTTTGTTTGCTGTTGTGGAACACTGCCTTGTGTTGTCATTAACAAAAGAGGAAGTTACATCTCTGTATGATTTGCCACATACTTTCAAAAACAGCAAAGGCCCAAACAATTGCATACTGAACATGTACGTTACCGTCATACAATTACTGTGTTTTATATCTGTTTCCTCACTATTGAGGAGAGTGGCCATATGCTGTCTCTTTATTTCCATAGCCTGGCACTGTCTCTAGCACATAGAGGTGGGCGCATAATGTTAAATGCAGACAGTGAATAAATAAGTGAATGTATTAGATCAGCCCTTTGGGACCTGCTTGTAGGTTTCCTGCCTTGCAAATAGCATCTGTCTGGGACTTTGAATAATGATTCCGAGTAGAGAACTCCTATATGTTATGTCTGGAGACAGACACATGGGTAAAGACAGAGAAGGAGCAGGAGGAGAGATGGATTTGGAAGGAGTTGGGTTGTAGGTGGCTAATATTTGCAAAAGATGGAGTTGAGAATTCACAGTATCACCACTGAACTAGCCACCTTATCTAAAATAATATATTCTTTTTTCTATCCCCTTACTCTTCAGTATTTTTAATCATATTATCGCCCAATATATATGATTACTGCTTATTGTCTTCCCCCTGCTCCCTTCTTTTAGAAAAGTTTCTGTATTTTCAGCACAAGTGCCTGGTGCATAGTTAAGTGCCCATTTTTTTTTTTTTTTTTATTTTAATGAATCCATAAGTGAAATGAAAACTGGCATTGAAACTTAAATGTATAAACATTGTAAGTTGTCTGGTATTTCAGAGTTGATAAAGATCAATGATCTAAACAGTATGCTTACCTTTTCAGTGTGTAAATCTGTATGATTCTTTGCAGAAGGCAAGCTCCAGTTGCAGCTGTGTTTGCAGGGAGTCCACAGTTAATGGGTGCGATTAAATTGTGCACTGGATGGATGGTGACAAGTTTGCCTCTTTACAATGATGATGATCTTCTCAAGAGAAATGAAAATGTAAGACATTTTGAATTCTACATTTGGATCTGTTTTCCAGCACTTTGTATTTTAGCATAGTCTGCAGTATACATATGCTTCTGTGTAGCTAGGAAAGTCCAAACAATTTTAGAAGAGTTAATTAACTTCCATTTTAAAAAACCTGTATAATTAATACATCCAACTAAGAGGAGACCCAAAATTAAAATATTAAGTTCTTTGTTTTATGAATAGTATTGATATATTTCCAGGAAAATACTTAATTTTCCACAAAGTATCAAGGGACCAATGTGTAATATTTCACCCAGGCTGGAGTACAGTGGTGCAGTGTCAGCTCACTGCAACCTCTGCTTCCTGGGGTCAAGTGACTCTCCTACCTCAGCCTCCTGAGTAGCTAGGATTACAAGTGTGCGCCACCATGGCTGGCTGACATTCTTATAATTCACCCAGGCTGGAGTACAGTGGCACAATCTCAGCTCACTATAACCTCCACTACCTAGGTTCAAGCAATTCTACTGCCTCTGCCCCCTGAGTAACTGAGATAACAGGTGTGCACCACCACAGCCAGCTAACATTCTTTAAAAAATATTGTTCTCAATTAAATTTTTGAAAGAAGACTGTCAATTAATGTCTTGGTACTGTACTGTTTTTCTCAGCTGAAGTTCTAATATGGCTTTTAAAACACAAAATTATTTTTTAATAAATGGACTGTTTTCTCAGTATAACATTAGAATGATATCTAATTACAGTTTAGATAATATATTATTTTGAATGTTTGTATGTATTTAAATGCTAACTTCATACCTGAAAGCAATGATCAACCGAACCTGAGTTCTCAATATTCTGTTTTTCCATTTTAGAGAATTTCATAAAGTTTTTAAGCATATTCTAAGTTAAGGAAGAAATATAGCAATCTAGAAATTAAGAAAGCAGACTCAGGAATTAGAGTACCTGAATCCAAATGCTAGCTCTGCTGTGTATTAGCTTTGTGACCCTGAGCAAGTTACTAAATCTGGAAATTAGGTGAGAAAAACAGTTCTCACATTCTACTTATGAGAATTAAATGAGATTATGTACAATGCCTGAAACACAGTAAAATTTCCAAGTTAGCTATTATGTTATTATTCTGTACTATTATGTTGTAGTTGCCTGCACACACATACCCATGGACACACACAAGATACAAGAAGAGTAAAAAAGCAGGAGCAATCAATCAATTCTGCCTACAAAAATCTAAGAATTTATCATAAAAGGCAGTCCCTTGATCTGGGCTTTAAAGGATGATTAGAAACTTGTTTGGAAACGAAATATATATTATTCCAGGCTGAAAAAGCAACATGAACCAAGGAATTTGTAGCCTTGAAACTAGAAAATAATATGAGGCCAAATTCTGACGGACCTGGAATGTCATGCTGAAAAATCATCCTTGAGACATGACTTTTAGTAAGCCTGGCAGTGGAATGGTTAGATCTGCTTTGGAGAGTTAATTATGGTCATGGCAGAAAGAACAGATTGAAGCAGGCAGGGGAGAGATCAAAGATGGGGAGATCTACCTGAGAATGATTTCCTTGAGAGGCAGCAGCCATCTCTGATACAGTATTTGCTGTGCTTCCAAAAGATATAGAGTTGCTCAGGCAGAATATAGAGAGCATATTCCTGAATTTTATTTTTTATGGTTATAAAACAGCAAACTCTGTGACTTTTGATTGGTCTTTTTCTAATATGGAATTTCAGAATTACTTTTAATTAGGTCAGAATTCTAGTTAGGTTCTAGTAAAATTTTAAACACTTTAGAGTTTTATGTAACTTGTCTATAAGAATAGTAACCACGGTTTTTCTCTGGTATATAGTACATAGCAGGTATGAGTAAATTTATTGTTAAACTAAAATCTAAACTGAATTTCATAAATAAGACTGTATCATTTATTATTTTTTTATTTTTTTGGAGACAGTCTCACTCTGTCACCCAGGCTAGAGTGCAGTGGTGCAATCTCAGCTTACTGCAACCTCAGCCTCCCAGGTTCAAACAATTCTCCCACCTCAGCCTCCCAAGTAGCCTGGACTATAAGTGTACACTGCCATGCCTGGCTAATTTTTTTTATTTTAGTAGAGATGGGGTTTCACCATATGACCGAGGCTGGTCTTGAACTCCTAAGCTCAGGCAATCCACCCACCTCGGCCTCCCAAAGTGCTAGTATTACAGGTGTGAGCCACCACGCCTGGCTTCTTTCTTCCCTCCCTCCTGCCCTCCCTTCCTTCCTTCCCTCTTTCTCTCTCTGTCTCTTTTTCTTAAATTTTTTTCTTTTTCTCTCTTTCTCTCTGTCCCCCTCTTTCTTTCTTTTCTTTAAATGGAGTCTCACTCATTCTGGTATGGTATGGATTTAAATGGTAACTTCATATCTGAAAGCAATGATCGACTGAACCTGAGTTCCTAATATTCTGTTTTTCAAGTTTCCAGAGTTTCGTAAAGGCTGGAGTGCAGTGGCATGATCTCTGGCTCACTGCAACCTCCATCTCTCAGGTTTAAGTGACTCTCCTCCCTCAGACTCCCAAGTAGCTGAGACTACCAGTACGTGCCACCACGCCTGGCTAATTTTTGTATTTTTAGTAGAGATGGGGTTTTGCCGTGTTGGCCAGGCTGGTCTCTAACTCTTGACCTCAAGTGATCTGCCTGCCTGGGCCTCCCAAAGTGCTGGGATTACAGGCGTGAGCCACTGCACCTGGCCAACCATATTATTTAAATTAGATGGAGTCTCTAATTCATATTATGTGGCTAATCTTTGTATAATCCCCTGGGCCAGTGATTTAACCTGGGACAGTTATCCCACCAGGGGACATTTGGCAATGTCTGGAGACATTTTTGGTTGTCACAATGTCATAGCAGGAGGAGGGGTTCTATGGGCATCTTGTGGGTAGAGACCAGGGTTGCTGATCTACATTGCAGAGAACAGCCTCCCTCCTCTCCCAACAAAGAATTATGTGGCATAAAATGTGAATTGTTCCAAGGTTGAGAAACTGTGCTCTAGGCTATCAATAATGTTATTGCAATTGCATAGAAGTGTTTTTTTTTTAATGCCCCAGCAGTATGTTTTAGTTTCTTTTTTTTTTTTTTTTTTGAGACAGAGTTTCGCTGTTGTTACCCAGACTGGAGTGCAATGGTGCAATCTCAGCCCACCGCAACCTCTGCCTCCTGGGTTCAAGCAATTCTGCCTCAGCCTCCCGAGTAGCTGGGACTACAGGCGCACACCACCATGCCCAGCTAATTTTTGTATTTTTAGTCGAGACAGGGTTTCACCTTGTTGACCAGCATGGTCTCGATCTCTTGACCTCGTGATCCACCCGCCTCAGCCTCCCAAAGTGCTGGGATTATAGGCCTGAGCCACCGCGCCCAGCTGTTTTAGTTTCTTAACACTTAAAAATAAATAAAATTGTAAGTAACTATCAATAGATATAGGCTGGATAGGATAGAACCATTCCCATTGAAACTTATTTCATGTAGTGAAATGATGAAATGAGGGAGATACTTCCTCTTGGTGTATTAGCCTTCTGTGTGCCACAGAATGTTGAGGGTGGGTATTCCTAGCATGTCAGTGGACATGGGAACTGAAGGCACTAGATAGGCAGCAACGGTGACAGGTAGGAGGCAGCTACTGGGTGTTCTGCAAATAGATTGGAATCTTACTCATTCCAGATTTCAAATCTTAGTATTTTCAGGCCAAATTGTATATGATACTTGGGCCTAATATTTGAGATTTTATTATTTTTTTGAAGGATAACAAGAGTTGATCCAATATTAACATTTCAGAAAAACTGAGAAGCCTTATTATCTAATAAGATCCAGAGCTTATTATCTAAGAAGTTCAGCAGAATTATAGTAAAAAGCAACAAAGAATCAAGACATGAGTTTTGATAAATATATATGTGAATATTTATATTTATAAAATATCTTTATTCTTCATAATACTCAGTACTGAGAATATAGTATATGCTTGATGTATAGTTTCAATTTACAGAAGTTTTAAATGTCCTTTAAAATTTATTTTAATTATATTATTTCAGATCTACCAAATCTATTCAAAGCGATCTGCTGAGGATATTTATAAAATACTGACATCTTACAAAGCTAATTACCTAATTGTAGAGGATGCTATCTGCAATGAGGTGGGAACCATGAGAGGCTGTAGGGTTAAAGATTTATTAGACATTGCAAATGGCCATGTAAGTAACCATTTGGAAAAAATTTTTTTTAGAAAAATTAGTTTATTTAAACTTGTAATCTTTAAACTTTATTTTTGGAACTTAACTAAGAATATAATTGAATTATGTAATAATGGGGAGAGCTTATTAAAAGTAGTTTGAAGTATTTTTTCAACATACAAAAGAAAAGCTGGGCATTTTTGCAAAAAAAAAAATAATAATAATATCAATACCTGAATTCCTTATTCATTGCTTGTACTTATGCAGGTTTCAACATTCATAAAAGATGGCATCATTTGATTTGATGATGATTTTATTTTGTTATAATAATCTAAAGAGCAACTGGTTATCTTGTTATATTCTTATGTTTGGAATTTTTAAAAATTTGATTCATGTCTATCTAGAAAAATTGCATACTGAATTAACACAGATCCTATTATCCACAAAAAACATGGGTCTTAAGAGCCATGTTAGTTGTTAGGACTTGGCTGTATCTTAATTTCTGCATTGATTTCAGCTATTTTACCAAGCTGGTGTGTGTGCGTGTGTTCCCTCGCCCCTGGCCATGGCCTTCCAGTGAAGGCAGTTTGTATATCTGAGACTTAGTGTTGGCTGGAATGAATTCTTGACTCCTGAGAAAGCTGGGGGTGAGGGATCATAGGAAAAGTTTAGTAAGTCATTGTAAGTGGTAATGTATATACTATTCAGTTTGCAGCCAAGATTTTTTCTATCTTTTCCTAAATAATCATAGCTCTTTATCTTATCCAAGATCAGTTTGGAGGTAAGAAATTAGTTTTTGTGATTTCCACTTTTCTTTTCTTCATGACCCCTTAATCTTGTAATAAACTTACTCTGTTTTATGTTGCATGCATTTTGAATTTCACTGTTGGTTCTTAGTGGCTGTGATCTTTGGTTTGTTGTTGACAAAATGGAATTGTTTGAAGCCTTGGTACAGTTTCAGTAATTGCTACTGTATTACTATCTGCTGTCTGGAGCCTTTCTGTTCTGCTCTGGCTACCCACCTTTCTGCTCTGTTTTGAGGATCAGCTCACTTCTCCTTTTACGTCATGCTTGGCATGGATTTAAGCTAATCTATCCTTTTAAAGTTGGCTATTTGGCATCTTTCATAGGCGTTAAAATATTACCTTTTTTTTTGAGATGGAGTTTTGCGCTTGTTACCCAGGCTGGAGTGCAATGGCACAATCTCGGCTCACGGCAACCTCCGCCTCCTGGGTTCAGGCAGTTCTCCTGCCTTAGCCTCCTGAGTAGCTGGGATTACAGGCATGCACCACCATGCCTAGCTAATTTTTTGTATATTTTTTAGTAGAGACAGGGTTTCACCATGTTGACCAGGATGGTCTTGATCTCTTGACCTTGTGATGCACCCGCCTTGGCCTCCCAAAGTGCTGGGATTACGGGCTTGAGCCACCGCGCCCGGCCCTATTTTTTTTTTTTTATAACAACTCCTTCAAGCTAACTAAGCTATCTTAGTGAACGTCATTTGGTAAAAGTGTAAAGGTCTGCAAAAAGTCGCAAAAGTTTCCTTGCTTACTCAATAATTTATGAGTCAATTCTACTACATAAGACAGGAGTTTGAATATATTTGGGCATATAATATGTCCATTTCTCAGCCTTGGTAGGTTTCATGATAAGGTTCTTCACAGCAGTGAAAATGGATTATGGAAACATTGTGTTCTAAATTTTAGGATTAAATCTTTTAAAAAAACATTTGATACTGATTTCTCAATGTCAATGGGAAGTTCAGGAGTATAGTGGGCATGGTGACTCACTTATGAAGAGGCTTCTATTTGCTAACAGTGAGATGTTGTATAGATCAATCTTTATAAATAATGTGTTTTCATATAAATACAGTCATTTCTACATTGCATTTCTGCTATGTTTGATAAACTTTTTAATATTATGTTTTATATCTTTTAATAGATGGTTTGTGAAGAAGGTGACAAGCTAACCTACTCAAAATATGGGCGATTTTGTCATGAGGTCAAAATTAACTATTCTCCATATGTGAATTATTTCACTAGAGTATACTGGAATAGATCCTACTTTGTATATAAAATCAACACTGTGATATCCTTCCAGTCTTGAAAAATAACAGAGCCTTTATTTCAAAGACTACCTGAAGTAAAATGCAGTTTTCTTCTACCTAGTCGGTGTCTTTGCAGATCAGAGTATGGACATTTGAAATATTGCTGCTGCTTTCCCCATTCTGCTGTTAACTGGATCCAGAGTTCTGTGGGAAACAGAAGATCAAGCATTACTGTCCTTTGATTAAATGTGGTGTCTACCACTCTGCGGTATTCCAGACAGGCGTCTTCCTTGCTGCTACATGCTCTTTAACACTTCTACTGATTGCAACATTTTCCCCATAAAATCTTCATTCTATGATAATACTGATCTTGAATTTGAATATATTCAAGGTTAGAATAGATTTCTCAAACATAACATTTAATAAATACTTAATGTGGTATCATTATTTAGTAGAAGGAAGGAATTATTCCTACCTTCAAGCAAGTTTTGAAGGTGTTTTATGATGTATAACAACTGAAGTTTTACAATAAAACTAATTTAAATGTTAGCTGAAGATATGTGGCATTTAAATTAATATATAAATTATATAAAGGAAAGTGATTTTCAAGGATATACATAAAGATATATCTAGAATTTTCATGATACTGTTATCATCTGCTGCTTATATAAGTGAGCACTTTCTTAGTAATACATAATGCATGATGTTATTGCATTTTTAAATGATAGTAAGTGATTAGTTTTCTCACTTATGCCTATTAATTTGATATCAATTTTAATCATGATAAAACAATAACTGTTACCTATAATGTATTTTTTTAAATGGACATTTAAAAGAATGTTGTTCAGGTTTTTAAAAAAAAAAATACTGATAGGGGATATACAGTCTGTTCACATGTTTTCTACTGAAGTACTAAGTAAAACATTTAATCTTTATCAGAATAAAAATATGTGTTCTGAAATGAGCAACAATTTCTGGAGATACATGCAGTTGCTATTAAACATGCTTCTGCATACAGATATATTATAAAACACAAGCAGTGTTATTTATGAAACTGTAATGCAGTCTTCAACATCAAGAAAAAATTATTATAATAAAATTTACAACACAGTGTCACAGTCTAAATGCTATGTTCCTCTAAGTATTTTCATATTTTTAATCATTTATTAAGATAAACTTTTAAAAAGTTAATTTGTCCTTATGACGAGATTCAGGATAGATGTAACCTATAGATGTGTCATTTTAATAAGGTGGGATACATGTTTAGTTTTTCCTTTTACTCCTGTTCAGTGAACAGATTTTCATAATTCTCACTTATTAGAGTGCTGCAAAACTTGCATTTTCGGTACTCTAAATTACTACATTAGAAGGGAGCATTTCCCCATTGTCTTTATTTTCTGTTATGTTGTAAAAGTACACTACATTAGAAAAGAGCATTTTTCCATTGTCTTTATTTTCTGTTATACATATGTTGTAAAAGTACATGCATTCTTAGGCTCTCAGATGCTTTGCTCTTTTGGAGCTTAAGAATTGTTTGATGATGATATCATATATCTGATAGATTAGTTTCAGTGGTTCTCATTTCACTCTTATACCTAATTTTTTTTCTTTTTTTTTTTAACCTAAATTTTTAACTATATTAAGATAGTTGTAGGTAGTGTACTTCAGGTTGACTGTGTACATCTGAGTAGTGAGTCACCAGTATTTTGCTTCAAGACTTCTGAAAATATTACCATAGTTACCTAAGCACACAGTGAATAGTTACATGGTAGTACTCGTGATTAGAGCATGTAAAACAATGTACTTTAAAAGTCATCTTCCGTATTTTGAAGGGGAAATAGAACCCCCTACTTTTTATGTAGTGTGAAATATTTACTTGAATTTTTGTTGATTTATATCATGACCACCTGTGCTGAATTAGGTTAAGTGCTTGTGTTTTATTTGACATATTAGTAAGTTGCTTTTGCTTCTTTCTGTCAACTTATTTCTTAAATAAAATTGATCTGGAAAAATTGTTAATGGGATGTTTTAAATAATGAATTTTTCATCTAGCATCATTTGAAAAGAAAAAGTAAGCTTTATTATGGAAATGATAATATTGAATATGACAGATGAGTTTATTTGCTTCTGGGATTTTTTTTTTTTTTTTTGAGACGGAGTCTCTTTCTGTCACCAGGTTGGAGTGCAGTGGCGTGATCTCAGCTCACTGCAACCTCCACAACCTCCACCTCCCAGTTTCAAACCAATCTCCTGCCTCAGCCTCCCAAGTAGCTGGGACTATAGGTGCCCGCCACCATGCCTGGCTAATTTTTGCATTTTTAGTAGAGACAGGGTTTTACCATGTTGACCAGGATGGTCTCCATCTCCTGACCTTGTGATCCACTCGCATTGGCCTCCCAAAGTGCTAGGATTACAGGTGTGAGCCACCACGCCCGGCCTATTTGCTTCTGTTTTAACTGCAGTTACAACAGTAGTACTAGACAACTTTAAGTGGGAAGCATTTAATTTGTTTCTTCACTTATTTGTAGAGTGAACAAATGATTCACAATTCTACAAGTAATTCCACTTCGGTAACTTAACAGTTCTTAGGTTTGACAATTAAGATCTACTATGCGAGGAGAAGAGTTTTTGGATTTTGGGTGGAAGGAATTTCTTGAAGAAATAAAAACTGTTCTTGGTATTGCAAACCCACTGATATAAGTACCTGAACTTATTTCTAAGTTTACTTTTTATTTTCAAAAAATTATTATATGTTTCCTCATTTTCCATAAGAAAATTTTAGTAATGTTTTCTCATCAAAAAGCACAGAAAAGTAATAAGCAAATCTTTGATAAAAGTAGCAATGGGATTTCTAGCCTCCTAAATTAATTTAGCCTCCCAAATGCCATACAAACAATCTAACATAAAATTTACCTTGAATAAGATCTATGATATTGATTCTGAGCTGCTTTGTATTTTTTCTAACTTTGGCATCTGTACCTTGGTGTTTTCTGTTAGACTGGTAGATTTTAGAACCTAAGGAGTATGCATTGTACTTCCAATGCTAACTTTTTTCTTCATTACTTTCTGTGTATATAGACGGTATTTTTTTGGTAGAACATTAACCCAGATTGCTAATAGCTTCATGTTATGGCATTCTTCTACACAGTCCAGACTGATTTAAGGAAAAGCAGAAATGGAAGTCCAGATGTGTTATAAATTGAGACTGAAAAACATGCTTTAAAAAACAGATTTAATTCCTTGAAGAGCACTGTGAATAGGCATTGTATTGTTTTGTGTCTCAGAAATCAGTTGTTTTGAGCTCCTATTTTGAACTGTTAAAAAAATTTTGTGCTTTTTGTGGATAAAAGTAGTGCCTCTTTTTATACAACTGACAGGGTTTTTAAAAATATGTAAGTTCTTTTTTGGTAAATTTATTTTAAATGCTTTAATATTTATAGGGTATATGTTATTAATTAATCTGTATATTTTAAAACTTTTTGTAAAGCCAATAACTACTTCCTGATTTACATCTCAGTATATTCTCCTTTTATTTGCTCAATTAAAAAAAATATGTAGTCTCTATTGTTGCTATTTACTAATCATTTTAGATGCCAACATGTATCAAAATTATAGGTACAAAAAGTTGCAAGTAAAATTCAGCAATTTCCTATTTGTTTTTTAATGTGTAGGAATAACACTTTAAATAAACTTAGGTGTGAAAATTGTAAAGGAACATATATGACCACTGTTTTCTGTACATTAACGTCTAAACATTATACTTGTTTTTCATAATAAAAGACATTTTGGAACCAAATTTGCTGAGTTTAGCATAAAAGCATCTTTTAATTATTTCTAAGTTTCCTAAAACGTGCAGCATCTTAATCTTGGCATTTCTAATCCTATGTGTTGTTCTGTAAGAGGTACACTGGACTTCTAACCACTACCTGTATTTAGTAGAATAATGGTATCACAAAGGAACAAGAATTCCAGACTTATAGTTTGATGTCTCATAAACAACCCTTTCATATTTTGAGTGAGTGGCTTTGTATAGCTATTTAATAGAGATGAGTACAGTTGGTTGTATATATACTATCCTCCGAGTCTTATCTGTGACAGTGTGTGTTTAGATTAAATATGTTCCTCCTGTAACTAAAGTTGCATCTTTGCAAAGGATGAAAGTTCATTTCAGCAGAGACAAATTCTTTAAAAGATTTGGGTTATAAACTAACACTTCAAATTTTGTAATAATCAGTATACTTTTATCAAGAATGAAATTATTTCATGCTTAATTACCCTCTTTACTTTGTTTCCATAACAAATTATTTTCAGAATTTTAAGTTTTATTTTATTTATTCATGAGCTTTATTGGCAACACCTTTACTGAGATATAATTCATATACCACAGAGTTCCACTTAAAATGTGTAATTCAGCCAGGGGTGGTGGCTCAGGCCTGTAATCCCAACACTTTGGGAGGCTAAAGTGGACAGATTGCTTGAGCCCAGGAGTTTAAACCAGCCCCGGCAACAGGGAGAAACTCCCATTTCTACAAAAAAATTGGACATGGTGGCCCACACCTGTAGTCCCAGCTCTGTGGGAGGTTAAGGCAGGAGGATCATTTGAGTCAGGGAGGTGGAGGTTGCAGTGATCACATCACTACACTCCAGCTTGGATGACAGAGGGAGACCCTGACTCAAAAACTAAATAGAAATAAAATATACAATTCAAAAATGGTAAGACATTTTTATTACTCAAACCTCTGGCTGTCAACCCCAACCACTCTGTCCTCCCCAGCCCTAGGCAACCACTACTAATCTACTTTCTGTCTCTACATTTGGACATTTCATTTAAATTGAATCATACAATATGCTTCTTTCACCTGGCATCTTTTTAAGGTTTATCCATGTTGTTCCATATATCATTCGTTCCCTTTTAATGCCAGATAATATTCCATTGTCTGTATATACCACATTTTATTTATCCATTCATTAGTTGATAGACATTTGTGTTCTACTTTGTAGTTATTATGAATAATCTGATAGGATTATCTGTATACAAGTTTTTGTGGGGGCATATGTTCATTTCTCTTGGGTATATATCTAGGAGTTAAATTGCTGGGTCATATGGTAACTGTGGTTAACTTTAACCACCAGACTGGTTTCCAAAGTGGCTGCACCATTTTACAGTTCCCCTCAACAAGGAATGAGGATTCTGATTTCTCCACATCCTTGCCAATAATTATTATTTTCTTGATTATAGCTATCCCAGTGAATGCAGCTGTTTCTCACTGTAGTTTTAATTTGCATTTCCATCATAGCTAATTATGTTGAGCACCTTTTCATGTACTTATTGGCCATCTGTATATCTTCTTTGGAGCAATGTCTCTTTATTTTCTTTGGCCATTTTTAAGTTGGGCTGTGTTTTTATTGAGCTGTTAAGTGTAAGGCCAAATATATGATATGGAAATACTTCCTTCCATTCAGTGGGTTCTCTTAACTTTTTCAATAGTGTCCTTAAAGCACAAATGCTTTTAGTCTTGGTTGCATTAATTCATTCACTTTTTTTTTTTTTGAGACAGGGTGTTGCTCTGTCACCAAGTGAGTGCAGTGGCACAATCACAGCTGACTGCAGTCTCCACCTCCCAGGCACTTCATTCACACTTAATGTTTTTGATGTAATTGGCTTTATACTTGCTTTTTTACTTTTTTTCTAATTTTTTTTTTTTAGTGGTTACTCTAAGGGCTTATCATATAATTTTTTTGTTTGTTTGCTTGTTTTGAGATAGGATATTGCTCTGTTGCCCAGGCTGGAGTGCAGTGGCGTGATCACGGCTCACTTGCAGCTCTTACTTCCCAGGCTTAATCCATCCTCCTCCCTCAGCCTCCCAAGTAGCTGGGATTACAGGAAGGCACCACCACACCCACCTAATTTTTGTATTTTTTGTAGAGATGGGGTTTCTCCATGCTGCCCAGGCTGGTCTCAAATTCCTGGGCTCCAGTGATCTGCCTGCCACTGCCTCCCAAAGTGCTGGAATTACCAGTGTGAGCCACTGTACCCAGCTATCATACTAAGCAGATTTATACTAACTTAATTCCAGTGACATAAAGAAGCATTAGTCCTAAAAAGCTCTTCCCTCTTCGATACTATTATTTTTATATGTATTACATGTATATGTGTTATAAACCCTACAATAAATATACTTATTACTTTAATTATGTTGAGAGAACAAAAGAAAAGTATATAGTATTTATATAGTCTATATAAACTATAAAAGTATATATAGTATTTACCATGTTTAGTTCTTTTTATTCCCATGGATTCAAGATACAATCTGGTGTCATTGTCTTACTCCAATACAGCTTTGCTTTCAACTTATCTCCTTTGTGCTGTTATGTCAAATATGTATTATATGTATCTATAAGTTCAACAATATAATTATATACAGATTATTTAGGTTATTTTTAAAAATCAGTTCAGAGAAGAAATATGTGTCTAAATTATCTTTTATAATTAAATAATTACTTTTACCAATACTGTTTGTTTTTTTAAATGAATTCTATTCATTGTCTGGGCTCACTTGTTTTCAGCCACAAGAACTTCTTTTAGTAATTTTTTTCTCTTTATTTATTTATTTATATTATTTTAGTAATTTTTAAAAGGTGAACTGTTAGCAATGAATTTCCTCCATGTTTGTTTATTTGGGAATGTCTTTATTTTGCCTTTTTAAAAAGATCTGTTTTCGGTTTACAGAAAAATTGAACAAAACATACAGAAAATTTCCATACACTCCTCCTCTCCTCCCCCTATACACACACAGTTTCCTCTAGCTCAACACCTTGCATTGGCGTGGCACATTTGTTACAATTCAGGCAAATTGATAAATGAAAGACCGTAGCTTACATACGGTTCACTCTTTGTGGTATACTGTTCTGTGGGTTTTGACAAATACATAATGGCACATGTCCACCATCACAGCATCAGAGACTAAGCAGTTTTACTGCCCTGCAAATCCTGTGTGTTCTCCTGATTCATCTCTCCCTGCCTTCCCCGGAATCCCTGGCAACTACTGACCTTCTTACTGTCTCTATGGTTTTGCCTTTTCAGAATGTCAGCTATTAGGAATCATGCAGTATGCAGCCTTTTCAGATTGGCTTCTTTCACTAGCAATATGCATTTCAGGCCCCTCCACGTCTTTTCCTGGCTTGCTGGCTCATTTCTTGTTACTGCTGAATAACATTCCATTATATGGGTATGTGGGTGTTTATTTATTCAGGGACATCATGGTTGCTTCCAAGTTTAGCAACTGTGAATAAAGCTGCCATAAATACATGCAGGGTTTTTGTGGACATAAGTTTTCTACCCATTTGGGTAACTACCAAGCAGTGCAATTGCTGCATGGTATGGTAATTTAATAAGAAACTGCCAAGCTCTCCTCCAAAATGGCTGCACCATCTTGCATTCCCGCCAGCAATGACTGAAAGTTCTGTTGCTTCATATCCTTGTCCGCATTTGGTGATGTCAGTTTTGAATTTTAGACATTCTAATGTGTGTAGTGATATCTCATTGTGACTTTAATTGACAATTGCCTAATGACATGATGTTGAGCATATTTTTGTATGCTTATTTGCTCTGTATATCTTCCTTGGTGAGGTATCTGTTTTGTTATTTTCTTATTGTTGAGTTTCACAAGTTCTTTATATATTTTGGATATAAAGTCCTTTCTCAGATATGTGTTTTCTAAGTATTCTTTCCCAATTTGTTGCTGTTTTGTTTGTTTTTTAAAGAGACAGGGTCTCCCTTTCTTTAGGTCTCACTCAGAGGCACTGATATTTGCATACTTGTTTCTGATTTTATGGGGTTATGGGGGCAGATGCAAATGAATTTTGCAACAGAAAGTTTGGTTGCACACTACACATACAAGTGGAGCAAGGCATCCCTGTCCCAGTTCTGCTGGGCTCTGCCTCTGAGGGGTTGGGAACTCTCAGCTCTTGGGTGGGCCATCGTTGCGACCCTCTCCCAGCCTCTCTTGGTTGAGTGGTCTTCTTCAAGACCAACTCTATTGTACCTAAAACTGCAGGAGCGATGGGGTTTGCGGGAAGCAAATATATGATTACCTTAAATTAGCATTCTTAAAGTTTTATGAACCTTGGCCGTGCCCCTTACCATGGGTAAGGAAAATATATTACTTTTTCTCCCCTACATTTCTTGTCATTGATGCCTTGTCCATCTCTCTCCTGACCAGCCTGTGGGCTGAGTTGGCTTTCAGGTGGTGTAGGGGTCTCCACACAGCCCTGTAGCCACAGACTTCAGACCTGTCACCAAAGGAATGTTGAGGCCAGGTACAGGCTTGCGCCTGTAATCCCAGAACTTTGGGAGGCTAAGACAGGTGGATCATTTGAGGTCAGGAGTTGGAGAGCAGCCTGGGCAACATGTCAAAACCTCATCTCTACTAAAAATACAAAAATTAGCCAGGCATGGTGCCACACATGTGTAATCTCAGCTACTCGGAAGGCTGAGGCAGGAGAATCACTTGAACCCAGGAGGCGGGGGTTGCAATGAGCAAAGATCATGCCACCGCACTCCAGCCTGGACAACAGAGTAAGACTTCATCTCAAAAAAATAAATAGATAAATAAAAAAAGAAGAAGTGCCTTGCTACAAAACACAGCTCTTGAACAAAAACGTTCCACCCAGGGGCCCTCATTTTATCTGAAACCTAAGGTTACCCTCAAGGCTAATGCTTCTCAAGGATGGTGCAGGGAGGAAACTAGGGCACCAAGCTGGAGGGAGGGAGCCCAAGACATGGGTCCTTGGAGC